CCGCATTTACATAGATGAAAACAGGAAACTACAAACGACACTACACACTAAAATCACCGACACCCACAACTATCTACACTTTAAGTCTTCCCACCCTAAACACCTCAAAGAGAACCTTCCCTATTCACAAGCACTTAGACTCAGAAGGATATGTTCCAACAATGAAGAATTAAATAAACACATTGAAAATCTGGAGCATCAATTCACAACACGTGGTTATAAACAACACCTAATCAGGGAACAAATGAATAAAGCAATTTCCACACCTAGAGAAGACACCCTAATGTACAAGATTAAAAATAAATCTAACCGCATTCCTCTAGTAACTACTTTCAATCCCACTCTGCCTCCACTATCCCAAATAATCAAACGTCGCTGGGAAATACTATATCTCAAACCAGACCTAAAACAATTGTTTAAGGAACCTGGCCTTCTTGCATATCATAGACCTAAGAACCTAAAAGAAATCATAGGTAGTAACCACATTTCAGGGGACAAGGTAATCCGTAATAAACTAAGAACAAAAACAACAGGATTTTCCCAACCATGTAACAACAAAGAAGTTTATGTTGCAACCATATTAAACACACGAATACATTCATTAGCTCAATCACTAAATCTACTTTCAAAATCTACCACGATTCTAAATGTAGAAATCATAACATAATTTACCTCCTAGAATGCACACTATGCCAGAAACAATATGTAGGAAAATCTGAATGGCCCTTTCATTACAGAATTAATAATTATCGCAATCGAATTAAGTCAACTCCCCATGAAAAATTATAACCCATAGAACAACATTTCCGCCTGGAAAAACACGATTACAAAACCCATGCCAAATTCACTATAATTGAGAGAATAGAAAAGTTCAGAGCAGATAACATTAGAAAGATTTTAGAGTCCCATGAAAATAAGTGGATACAACATCTAAAAACACAATATCCAGCCGGGCTAAACCATAAATTTAACAATATAGACAGTACTAATATATAACTTTACAAATAAAAACCTACCCACACAAGACAGACATACTTACGGAGGTGTTGAGGCCTCACACTTATACACTCACCCACACGAATATACACACTTACACACATCATACTCACTCCCTAATGAGCCAAATGATAACACACACCCACAGCAATACACACGCTTACACATATCATACTCACTCCCTCCCTAAGAACCAAATAACACACACAAACACTAAACAGAGACACATCCCCTCTCCAGAACCAATAAAACTGTCAAACTGACCAAGGAGATTCAGAGAAGCATAGATCCATCCAGCTCTTATCTCAAATAACAACTTAAAAGCGACTGTTTGACCAACACAAGGAATGTTAAAAGATTCATGTTAAAAAGATAAAAAAATAAAAAAACAAATGAAAACTACAGACAAAAGTTCATTTTCTCCATCAAGACATTCATTTCTGTAGTTTACTGCTACCAGCAAGCAGAAATATTTCTTCTCCTGATGATGGCCATTTTGGCCGAAACTAGTCGAGGAATCTAAATGAAATAATAATAAAAAAAAAAACAAAAGAATATTAATCTACAACCCAGTGTGTCTGAAGATTTTAATTTTTTTTTATTGTTATATATATATATATAGCGATTTTTAAATAAATAATTATATTTAGGCTCTACTTTTGTATCGAGCACTTTTTTTTAAATAATAACAAAAATACTAAAGAACTTTGGATTATTTACCTAACGAGTTCCTTCCTATTTTCTATATATTTTCACACACACACACCTATATATAGTCATCCATAGAGAGTTTCGCAGCTCATCAGTGCAGCTAGACGTCCGGTTGTCTCTAACTAGGACCGAAAACCGACTGAATTGGCGTTAGTCGGTGGATTCTACCACTAAGCCGTTGGCGCACGGCAGGGATGAAGGTGAATGTAAGCGTATTTATTTTTCGATAAACACACAGTGACTGAGAGAACTCGACTCTAATAGTCCATGGTTATAATTTATTACATTGGAATCGTAAATATCTGCCGATTTTCTTTTGAATTTGTAGGTCTGATGCATTGGATCGTAAATACGATTCCAATGTAATAAATTATAACCATGGAATATTAGGTTTGAGTTTTTTTATATTATATTTTTTATATATATATATATATATATATATATATATATATATATATATATATATATATTGACTTTACAATTCAAGAATAATTCGTTATCTGTCCTCCTTGTTCGCATAATCTTCAATCCCACCATCTTTTTCTTTCATATCACTAACATCATTCAGGATAACTATTTTATCTGTAAATCTTAACCTCTTCCCTCTCTTAGAGAGAGAGAGAGAGAGAGAGCAATGTTTTCCTGTTTTTAACGCATAACTGAGGCCGGGGTCGAAAAGATGGATTCACACCTTTCCAAAAGTATTTGCGCGAAGTTACCTCAGCTGAAATTTGAACTGGTCACCCCAAGCCCACTCTTAACGCCACTAACCGCTACGCTATCGTTATTAACCAACTTCGAGACACCTTTAAAACTAAACCCTACTTAGTACTGGCACAAGGCTACAAGAATGAGGCACCCAGTGAAGAGCTAACTCAATACTAAAACAG